GGGACTCTTCAAAATAAACCGTGAAACTCTGACCAATGTGAGGAGAGTTTACTCACATGTGACTTTTTTAAGCTGTTTTGGTCCGTTTAGAAACTTTGCCGTGTGAAAGCGAACCACACCAAGAACAAAGAGCAACCATGTAACAATTTTAATCCCTGTTTCGGAACAAATTAATTAATTCACAGGTGTGAAAACACCCTAAATAAATATAAAAAGCAGTGGGATTTCCGTTCTTTCCATTACATGTGTCATTGCTCCTCCTATGCAATCCTCAAAACAGTCAGTTCATGCAGCAGTGCATGACTGTCACATGTGCTCCATAGTGATAAATAGATGATATTTCCCGAACAGATTCTGTACACACGCTTTGGGTGCATGTTTGAACAGACATATACACATACTACTACTACTACTACTGCTACTACTACTACTACTACTACTACTACTACTACTACTGCTAATAATAATAATAATAATAATAATAATAATAATAATAATAATATCAAAACATGTTGATCTTGGAGTTTTTTTTTTAACAAAACAAATTTTGTCTAAATAAGATCAAGTAGTTAGGAAAGCCATCAAATGCTTTCATTATAGATGATATTTAATGTAATCAAATATAATTTTTTTGACTGTTTGCTTCACATTCCAAAGACGTGCGGTACAGGTGAATTGAATAAGCCAAATTGGCCAAAGTGTATGTGTGTGAAAAAGTGTGTATGGGTGTTTCCCAGTGTTGGTTTGTCACTGAAAGGGCATACGCTGCGTAAAACTTATGCTGGATAAGTTGACGGTTTATTCCGCTGTGGCGACCCCTGATTAATAAAGGGACTAACCCGAAAAGAAAATGAATGAATGAATGAATGAATAAATGAATGAATGAATGAATGAATGAATGAATAATTGAATGAATGAAAAGGTTAATGAATGAAATTTGATAACTTGATTAAATTTCTTTATAATAGCCATCATTTTAAATAGGTTAAACTGTTTAATTTATTTACAGCTGTTTCTAATGAATGGTATTTATTCTATCCTTTGTAAATAATAATAAAACAAAAAACAAAAAAAAAAAACATATTACTGACTGTTTCAACTGTTTATTTAAAATGAAACACTGCAGATGAACACATTTAGTTTCCCCATATTTGGGGAAATTTACTATAACGATATAACTATAATTTACTATATACATTACTATAATGCGTGTTAAAAACTGTTTAATAGTTTCACTAAATAAACGATACATTCCAGGGAACTTTAAATAATAGATTTAAAGGAGGCACATTTATTTGAAACATAAATTGTTAACACATTCTGTGAAGCCTGTATGTATTATTATTTAAAGCATTCTTAGGAATTCTTTAATTACTGTAATGCCTGGATAATCCCTTATAAAAAGCTTATGCTCAATAAACAATGAACCAATGACTACTATTGTTACAGTACTTAAAGCACACAGAAACCACTTATAAATATTATCTGAAACGGCTTAGAATGGGGAATACATTCTGTATCAACCATGTCAATAAATGTATTGATTAGGAATAGTTAGCTGTTGTCGCATTAAGATAAAGTATGGCGTTGGATTATAGGTTAAGATGTACAATATGGTCCTGTACATGTAAGTTAAGGCATTAACTATTAAACAGCCATGCCAGCCTAAAACGATAAGCTACACCTGAGTATATTAACGTGTTATCATATGAGCACATTATAAAGTTTTGCTTCTGTCACTTTAAGTGGTACTTAATTTAAGTCCTACGGCAAAATTATTTTTTATTATATTTGTAGTGATCTGCTAGAGGTAGGTCAATTTGTTTTTATTATTTTGATGACGTAGCATTCAACTTAAGAGCTCTTTAGTCTATGCGCTGGACCGTTTCTCCTTGTTTAGCTGTTAATGTCTTTAAATAAATATTTCATTTAGGACTATTTAATTATAATTTTTTAATATTCATTAATTGACACATAAAATGAGATGTGTAATGAGATGTTCCGTTGTTGTAAAATCAACAACGGAAATGTAAATGAAAAAGCTTATTTATTGACTGTCTTAGTCCTATCACTTTAAAATAACAAACACTGTACATCTCTTTATATTTATGCTAAAACACTGCTTTATTTATTTATTTATTTATTTATTTATTTATTTATTTATTTATTTATTTATTTATTTATTTATTAAGGCCTACTTATTTGTATGTAAGCAATTCCATGCAAATGTCAACCTTGCCATGAAAAAAGTTTTCATCAAAATACGGAAACTGTTTAAGGGTTTTTTGTGTAAGCAAGTGTTTTACAGTACTACGGAAATACTCAAAAATGCATCTATCAATGTTTTCAAACTATTCTATTTGATTTATCAAAGTCACACTAGTGCCAATTTCACATCTGTCACATCCATAACGGAGAGATGTCACATCCATAATGAAACTTTTTCCTCATAAATGTGAAAATAATATTAAATAATATAAAAATAATCATTGTTGTTTTATAGAGAGCTGACTCTTTTCCTTTTGATTATCATTATTTCTTTTGGGTTGTGCAGTTAAATTCACAGAATTTCTACAAAGTATGTTGTTGACTGTAAACCCGCAACCTTTTTTTTTTTTGTCACATCCATAACGCATGTTTATTTTTCGTATTTAAAGTACAAAACATGTTTACAGATTGATATTTTTCTGGTCCCTTAACTCTGAGGTCAGTTGTTCTTGAAAATATAAAAAGATGTTTCAATATAATGTTAACATATACTTTCCATGTGAATATATGTTTTGAGTTTTTACTGCAGATGTCACATCCATAACGCTGGAACTGCTCATGTATGTTTGTACTTTTACTTTGTTGTCTTTTAGTCCTTTAATTTTACTTTCTAAAATGAATCCTCATTTTACTTAACAAGTTTACAGTAGCTACATTTCCATCCACCTATTTTTTATGCACATTTTGGATATAAAAATACGCCCAAGATGTGCATAAATTTAAAGAAAATGCACATAAATAACATATTTGCATAAATGAGCAGGATAAAGTTTTAATTTCATGCATAAAATGCGATAGAAACACTTTTAGCGAACAAATTCCAGTATGATATTAAAAAAGGTCATGTGATTTTGTTATACGAGATCATGTGATGATAAAAATTTGTGTGAATGGACAAACCAGCACACTGTAAAACATCTGAAATGTTGTTTTGGTCATTTTACAATGCCTTAACTATTTCCGTATTAGTGTTATTATATTATTAATGACCTCCAGAATCAAAAGTGTCTATGCTCCTAGTCTCACACCTTCAAACGCCACAGCGCATTCACTGCATGTCAGGATTGCCTTCTGAGGCACAAGTCATTTATTAAATGAAGAAAAGATTCACGCTGCTTCTTCTCCTATGCAAATTACGTTTTTACTGTTGATATTTGGTGCCAGATATTCAGGAAGTGACGATTTTGTTCACTTTGACTGGTTGGATGGAAACATGTTCTAACTCCTTTAGTGCGGTGGTGGAGCCACTCACTGCAGTAATGCTGCTTTTAAAGTGTCACCCACTGTAAAAAACCATACAATGTAGCGCAATAGCCTACTGTTAAGATCTGTAGAAAATAGTGAGTATATGGAATGTATAATCCATTAAAACTTAAATAATTACAATTATATTTTGTAGTATCACAATATTACACATTCTTCATGTAGAAGCAGAGAAGTTTTTTTCACAATGATGGCCAAACATCTCAAAATTAGTTGATATTTTTTTCTTCTGGTGTCTTTGAGTTATTATTTCTTATTATTTCATAATGACTGGGTGGACTGTGCTTTTGAACACTGAATGATGTTCCAATTCCGATGTAGGTTAATATCGTGTGCTGATTGTGAAGTTTCAAAAAGTGTGAAAATGAAATCCCATTGTCCATAGTATGATTTAAACTATTCTTAAAATGTTCTGTTGAGATACTTGAGAAAAGCTTTTCTGGAGTTACTCAAGGGCAGGGACTGACCCACTGTACAGCCAAACTTTAAATCTAATCAAAGTCTCTCCAGATCTGATATACAGCTATTGACACCCACGGACAGCTATTAATACAATAAGGCAGGCTGAGAGTCTCTTTCTCTCCCTCTCTCTCCACAGGGTCACTCCTACTGTGGATCAGATTTAATCTCCCATAATGGCTCATCTGGCACTGACATTTCATTCCCTTGCAGTCCATTCCACCGCCTCTCATCTACTATTCTATTCTATTCTATTCTATTCTATTCTATTCTATTCTATTCTATGAAAGACAATAATACATGCAGCAAAATGATCATTATTTATTCAGTGTTTTGAATTCCATATTGTAAGATGTTTTGTTAATCTGGGACTGGAAGTTTCAAACATTAAAATGCAAAAACAAGGTTTATATGCTCTACATTTTTCATTTTGACATCCTGCAATAGCTTTGTGTGGTAAACAGCATAAATCAATAAATCATGAGGTTCATTTAATTTCTTAAGAAAACTGTTCTTTAAATCATTCATTTGATCCAGTTTGTAAAACCTAAAATTTAAATTATTCATTGATTAGTTGAAATAATCATTATTGGTTCAGCCCACTGACTCAATGATCCACTAACAACAGCTAATGAGTCAGTGGTGGGTAACATTATGAGTAAATTAACTGTCAAGATGAAATCAAAACGAATCCTTTCTTTTTTTAAATGCATGTTATCAACCTTACTGTGACCTATTCACATATAGTTTATGCATCTTTTGGTAACACTTTATAAAAGGTTCCATTAATTTAATGCCTAAGAAATTCTGTAACAATAATTGATATGTTTATGAATGTTATTTATTAAAAATACAACTGTTTGTTTGTTTATTTATTTACATTCTAAAATTTTGCAGTGGAATGACCGACTTCTCTTCTCTTTAATCATTTATGCCAACTGTCTTACTGTCAATTTCACCATCATATATATATATATATATATATATATTTTTTTTTTTTTTTTTTTTAATTATCTATTACTCAAATGCAAAAGAAAGGTTTCTCCTAACTTGATTTGAATGATGAATGATTTGATACATTATCCTGTACCATGTCGATCTCATCACTCCATCCATCCATCCATTCAATAATTTTGAACCAATTGACTGGGGTCAGGTTATGCCATGTCCTGGATCTTCCCATGGGACCCCTTCTTCCGGTGGAACATGTTTGAAACACCTGACCAGGTAGGCATCTAGGAGGCACTCCGAACACTCCAAACTACACCAAGCTCCTCCTGGGTGACAGAGCTCCTCAGGCACTCTCTAATGGCCTATTTCCTACTAAGTGGTACAGAACAGTACGGTATAGGTCGGTGTGGGTCGCCTTTATCAGACTTGCGTAACCAATCCTAAAAGGGTACCAATGGTACTCCTTTGGTGGGTGTGGTGTATGACAGAAAGTTTTCGTCGTCATCATTCTCAGATGCATTCAGAAGCACTTCAATTATGTTATTATCATTAGCTGAAGAAGTTTGTTCATTCAAATATAGATACGCGGCAGGTGTACGCGAGAAAGCGAAACCGCTCAAGCTTTAGACGGCCTTGTAAAAAACTACATGGCACAGGGCAGAATCTGCTCTTCTTTTTGTCTTTGTCGATGTTCATAAAGACGACAAGGCTTGTTTGAACTAGGGTCGACTATGGCTCGTTATTATATGTATATATTATTATGGTGTAATATTTCGGCTGTGTATTTAAAACATGGTGGTTCCCTGGTTTTCATTCTGACTTGTTGCACGAGTGAGTGACGTATCTCTGTAAACCATTAGCATTGCACGTCTAGCTCCGCCTTTTAGTACCCTTTTGTTGTGCTAGGTACCCTTTGCAAAGGGTACCCAAAAAGTGGTACTGTTCACTTTTAGAGTACCACTCAACACAGTGGAAACGGGCCATAAGGGCATGCATGCACCAGACACCCTACATCAAAAGGCTGTGCCATAAAAATAATGAACAGATCGGGTGACAAAGAGCAGCCATGCCGACACCAGGAACAAGTCTGACTTATTGCTGGCAATGCAAACCAAGCTTCTGCTGGTTATACAAAGATGGCACAGCCCTTGACAGAGTGCCTTAGACTTCATACATTTTGAGCATTACACACATTATGCACCATTATATACCTTCTACAAGTCTCAGAAGCATATCTGAATTGGTTGGGTGAACTGCCACAAACCCCAAGCACCCTAAAGAGGCTATAGAGATGATCCAGTGTCCCAGGGCCTAAACAAAAGGTGCATTGTTCCTTTTGAATCTGAGGTTATACTATTGGCTGGATTCACCTTTCCAAGTACTTTGGCACAGACCTTTCTAGAGAGGCTGAGAAGAATAATCCCTCTATGATTGGAACACACCCTCTGGTGTCCCTTCTTAAGAATGAAGACCACCACCCCAGTTGCTCAGTCCAAAGGCACTATCCCTGACCTTCATTCAATGTTGTTGAGGTATGTCAATTAAAACAGCATCAACACATTCTAGGAGCTATGTTGTCAGAGGCAAAATGCCCCTTTGAAGGGTCTCCCAAAGCAAAATGTTCCTAGGTGACAAAGCAGACTATGTGTGGTTCAGAAACCTCTTATGAGGGATAAAACTCTAATATCGTTCAGTATGATGCAATTAGGGCCTCACCCTGGAAAAAAATGACCTGATTTTTAAACATGTTGAACCCTTTAAATCAAACTATATTAAGACTCACTGACAAGTTTCTTTTTCACCAATGTAGCACATCTGCATTATGTCACAATTAAAAAATCTGCAATCGTATGCCTTAGGTAAAACTGTGACTTTTCTAATTACATACGGATATGCCTATAGAGAGAATCTATGCCTATAGGGGATTTTTTTAGGAATGCATTTCTGACCTTCACCATCTATGCACCTGCACACACCCAAACCTACTGCATTTCTCTAGAGAGTGCTTAAGCTCCCAAGGGAGTTGCTCTTACTGTAGAACAGTTCTGTGACAAGATCTTTAATTGCACATACAAGCACATGAGCAAATGTACGCTGTATGTGCACACCCTTAAAATTAACCTTTTTTTTTTTTGGTTCAGCTGGATACATGAACGTGTGAAAAGGCTGAAAATAAATGAACTCCAATTCAATAAATAAGCCACAGTGTCATAATGTTGGTGGCATTCAGCTCAACAAACACAGATCTCTATCTTTTTCCCTCCATGCAGTGTGACCTACATAGTGGAGAACTACTGCCTGATGGTGCATGCAGCTGCCACAAGAATCCACGCACACACAAACACGCATGCAATCAGATATGCATGTAATGCACCAAACATAATTTGTATTCATGCTTACAATTCATATTCATTCAGCTTTTTCATCACGACTGTGCTTCTTTCAAACATAAAAAATCTGCATACAAATTCAGCAAGGATGCATTGCTGTTATCAAAACTGAAAGTGATAGTAAAGACATTTATAATTGTTGTAAAAGACAAAATGATGAACTTTTACACTTTGGATTCATAAAATGATATGTATTGTAGATGAATAAAGTGCTTGTGCTCCCTATGGCCAGTTCTTCTGGTACATCACACGAGTGACCTTATTATTAAAGAGCCGCTGGTTGTTCTGACTAAGTGTTCTTAGGTCAGACTTGTCTAATGTCTGTTTTACATTGTACTGTTTGAGGCTGGCCAAGATGAAAGATGACCAACATGAAACAACTGTGTCGATTTCTTTGATCCTGGCTTCTAAACGGTGGTCCTACTAAATGTTGTACTTAAGAGATTTAAAAACCCCTGTTGTCATGGTCTTGCAACCAATATGACCTTCTAACAGTGTAAATACTGCAATGGGATACATCTACTGACAAGCCAATCAAAATTCATAATGAAATGACATGTTGATCAGTGAAACATGTAAAAATAACTCAAAGAAATGAAGGAATACTATGGCATTCCAATAAATCTGGTGGATGTGTCCTGTTTTACTAAAGTGCAGATCACCTTGCTTTACTGTATGTTTATGATTTTATTTTTCTACTTGTGTTATATTCAGTAGCTGTCACCTTTGTGAAGTCTACATACAGTACACGTCATGTCCAAGTTTATTAGATCCACGCAGTTGGATTTTTAATGAACTGTAAAATTGACAAAATCAGAGGATCTTCTAGGAGACTTAATACAGACCCACATACTGCTACTTAACAGGCCGGCTTAAAAAGATCACCACTCGCACAAGGATTTCCAGCCAGTTGAGAGGCTATTAAAGGTCCGTCCTACAGTGTCTGAGAGTAGGGTAAGTGTTAAGAGCCAATACTGGCAGATTTCATCAGACTTGAATGGCCCATAGTGTGAAGTCCTGTGGAAAGCAGACATGTTTCAGACAAAACACACACAGAGCTTCCTTTCGCACATGGCATGGGATGTCATATGTCAGTGTTTTGCACATCTACTACATGTCTACTGCCACATAACCCCAGGCAAAGCTCCACTTAGAAATCTGTTGTGGCTGTGAACACGTGCCTTGTCATAAATCATCTTGCCCTTGAAGATTATGCTGTGTATTTATAGATACAGCCATTTATATGCAACACACAAAGATGCAGAAAAGGTCACCAAAGATGAATAAAGATTAAACTTTCATGCGATGCTTATGCTGTCTGCAAAAACCACTTGCTAATTATAACATTATTCTGTAAAATCCAGCATGATTAAACCAATGTAAATGTCAAGGTCAAATGGCAGTGCAATGATGTTTTATGTGACCTTTGTTTAACAAAAAGTTATTTTTTTTTATAAAAACAATTCACTAGATGTACCATTATGCTAGCACCCGTATAAGAGAATATTTGGAGATGTGAATGGCAAAAATGTCCAATACTGCTGTTGCTTTGCATTACTGCATTGATCAGTTTACACAAATGCAGACATTCACAAACCCAAGAACATGTGTGTACATGAATACATCATTAGACCATATATAAAGTCTACACTCAAAAAAATGAACTTTCCCTATTGTTAGTTTTACTAAACCCATCCTTGTTCACATTACATAAAACATAATAGTAATTAAATTAACATAAGTTTACCATGTTATTTCTACAAAAATGTAGTACTGTAGGCTTTACTTAATAAGGGTTTGACAGGCCAACTTAACATTGTTGAGTAAAACGCAAAAACCTCTTAAAATTGGATATTTGCTGATACCGTAGCTACCTACCTGGAGGCGGAGCAACGGAACAGTCAGAGAGAGGAACATGTGAAGCACATGAGGAGGAGAAGATGGTGGCTTTGTCAGGTATGAGTATTTCATTAATCTTTAGTGTTAAATATCACCAGGAAAAGTGATGTGAGTGTTCACAGAATTATGTTAATTTATTATATCAGTGTATTATGGAGTCTTTTGAATTTTAGCAGTCAGAATGTTATACTGACTCGTGTTTCTCAAGGAAAGCATGTGGCAGTGCAAAGACTGCAAAATAACCATCACAACTAGATCACAGTTGTTGAAACACTATAGATTAGTGCATAGACATTGTGGTCGCGGTATTCGTTTTTCATGCACTTATTCTGACTGTCGCTGTAGATTTAAAACGTGGAGTGCACTACACAGCCATCTTAATTGTAGCCATGCAAAGGAGAACACGGGGTTACCTGCAAGTGTAACCACATTCAATTGCCATGTGTGTTCTTGCAGCCATATAGACTCAGAATGGGAGTATTTTAGTCATATCTATAAGAACCTGAAAACAATGAGACAGTACTTTGTATGAAAGCTATTCTTACTATAATCCTGTGTCTTAAATTTACTCAGATTGCTGCTGAATTCAGTCGAATCACTACTGTCCCACTAATTCAAACATTTTTCAAAACTGGATGGTTACACCAGCAAGCTGGACAGCATTTACCGTACAAAAGAAGAAATTGCAAAACGGAAAATTTGAAAACTCATGGCTACCATCGACAAGGTTTGTTATCTGTATTTATGATGCTTGTAAATAATTTCCACTTTAGTATGGTGTTTTTTTTCATTGTATATACCTAATGTCTCTTCTACAGAATGATGCCATCTCAACTTGGAGAGCTTGCATTCTCAGAGCACTTTCTGTGTATCTTAATGAAGACTATTAAAACCTCATGAAGGAGTATACAGTAAGTATAGTTCTCAGTCAGTTAATATTTAAAATGCCATCACATAAATTCACATAATATAGTCAAGGAATATCAATACACAAAGTATATTTACCTTGGGGTTGTCAAAAGAACAGACTTCAGCACCAGTCTGCACTGAAATAAAAGATTGTTATGATGCTAGCATTTTTCTGTGGAAATTTTGAGCACAGTCGAGCAGATTCTCAAGCAGATTTGTCTAGGCAGATTAAGGTGGCAATTATCAGTGTTGCCAATCACAGTCACATCTGTTGAGCACAATAACACTGGCCAATTGAATTTCTTTGGAAGAATGACGGTTTCTTCACATTTTTTAAAATTCAGTACAGAAGCCTGTACTTTTGACCACCCTAACAAACACAGTAAAGTAGTTTTGTAAGTCACAGCAGGTGCGTGATGTGAAAGATTAAGGAATGGACAGTTGATACAAAATTCTTTAAATTTACAATCTGTGTTTTTGATGTAATTAAACTGACTGAACAGTGATACTGTTTTTGTGTTTTGTAGGCGACAGACTTTGAGAGAGACATGGCCAATACTGTCATTTAAATCTACATCGTTAAGCCTGAAGGTGTAGAAGTCTGTGACCCACCATCAGTTGCTGGACTGATTTTTGAGGGAGTAAAAGTGCTTCAGAACCTTGGTGATGTCACCAAGGCTTGTTCTCTTTCTTGGAGAGTCAAATACAGCGTGAATCTCAGTTATCCTTCAGACCTGAAATACACTTTTGAGTTTTTCAGAAAGTGTTGCTGGGACTTGCACATAAACTGTCACACAAAATACAAGTTCTCAAAAACAAACTTGTTGGCTGAATCAGTACATCATTCTGGACGGATGAAAGAAATAGAGGAAGAAGCTTTTTTGAGACACTTAAATTGTTTCTAGTTTTAAAATTAAGGGCCAATTTTAAAGTTATCTTTGTCGATGGCACCAAAGTTTTAAATGGAGTTCTACAACTTTAAATGGTTATAATTGTTTGATTATTTACAAAGATTCAGATTTTCAGTTTTATTATTTTCTTTGCTTTTTTTAAATTCTTATGCTGCTTGTCTTAAACTTTCATTTTCTTTTTCAAAGTAAAATTTATTACTTGCAGTTGCACATATTGAAAGAACATTTTGGTCAATAGTAAAACTTCTTTTATAAATTTTTTTTATGTTTATTTTTTAAACAAGCTATTGTTTTGTGGTGGTTTTCATAAATAAAGGTCAGTTGTATACTTTATATTAAACCTTTTGAAATATCAGCAATTGAGCATTGTAGCATTTTGTGACACAGGAAAAAAATGTCAAATTACTTTTGTAAATTTGCTCTTATACATTTTTCTTCCAATATTTGAAGTAGCACATTGTAAGAATGTTCACTATTGACCAAATGTTGCTTTCGCATTTTTTTTTCTTTCTTTTTGTACTTTTATTTGAACTGTTTGAGAATGTTTACAAAAATAGAGGCCAGTTTTAATGTTACTCTCACTATTGATTGTAAAGATCAGAAATTAATTTTAGCAGTATTTTAACATTCCATGTACAACATTTTTCAAAGTAAGATTATTTCAGATTCTTAAAGCCAGTTGCACTTTAAAAGACCCTGTAAATGTTAACTGAAAGCATCTGATGTTTTAGTGTGTTTGTTTCAAAGGAAATTGAAATTGTTTTATGGGTTTTTAGCAGTTGTATGTTGCAAAACATTGCAAAGAAAATAAATTCATTTTGTTTCTAAAAATATGTTTGATTATTTAAGTTTTACACTTGTAGAGCACATACATTAGAAGTGAAATATATATATATATATATATATATATATATATATATATATATATATATATATATATATATATATATATATATATATAAATAAAGTGTTCACCTTACATACTAAAAGTTCATAATTCTAACATAACATTACTAAGTAAAATATACATAAAACTAAAATGCAATAATGACACATCTAAATAGGTTGAATGTACTAAGAAATATTTTGTAAACTTTACCTGGATTTCTTTAGTTCATTTAACTATATTGTTACTTGTAGAAACTACTCAACACAGTTACGTGGAACCACTTGACACTCTTTTTTTATGTAAGTCCAACAAATCATTTTTTTGAGTGTATAAAATCCACAACATGGTCAAGCAAGGAATGTGGAAATCTATTAATTTTATGCAACAACAATATGAGACAGGCTCTGCTAAGCTCACTTACCTATTTTAAGGGGATAAGAATGGTTATGTGACTGTGGTCAAATGCAAATTAAGAATGTGACAAAAATCAGCCATGCATGAAAACCAGATTAGGAATTTAGTACAGTTCCAGATGAGAAAAGGAAATCCTCACCATTCTCAGAAGAGATGGAAAGAATAGGCAATTAGTATAGAGAGAAACGGAGAAAGCACATAATGCGCTTGGGGTGAAACTGACTCATTGAGCACTCACAGGGACAGCATGTACCATTCCTTCATTTCCATCTCTACTCTGAAGGTGATCTCCTGTTCTCAGCAGTAAATTGACAAATGTGTTAGAATATTAGCTGTCTGACACCTAACGAAGCCAAACTTCTTTCATAGTCCAGAAAATGCAGTCGCATTAATAAATGTTACATTTTTATTGTACCCATTTTTGTTGTTATTTTTTATGTACCCATCCATAAAGCACCACTCACACAGAAGCCAAACCAACCAGACTTCTCCTAATAAATCTATGTTCAGCAGATTTTCTTTTGTTTTGATTGATTGATGATTTGGTTGGTTGATTGGTTGGTTGGATTGACTAGTTGGTTGGTTGATTGGTTAGGTTGGTTGATTTATTAGTTAGGTTGGTTGGTTGGTTAATTGGTTTAATTGATTGGTTAGGTAGGTTGATTGATTGATTGATTGATTGATTGATTGATTGATTGATTGATGGATCTCATCTAACAACCTGTTTATTAAAGGTTCAAGACACCCTGTAGTACTTAAAAAAAAAGACAGATTTGTCTGTGTTGAGCATTAGTTGGCACTTGTTAATTGTGGGGAAAACTGGATAATTTTGAGCTTTTGTGAGCTAAATTCATCTTCTGGTTTTAAAATAACTTTTAGGGCAGGATCAAAATCTGTAATATAGCACGCATCTGCTAGTGATGACGTATCGGTTTCTCATTATTATTCATAGCGGAGTTTTCTTATCCTAAGAGATTCAACATTCCTATGAGATTTTTCATGAGAGCATGCATTTTCTGAAGGCAAGGTAGACCTGCCAAGCTGTGAGACCATATGACTGGTGAGACCACGTCAGCGCACGACACTGGTCATATATGTTTGTTTCCATGATCCACGGGGGTTTGTTGCATATTTTTCCCCGCGATGCTGTCAAAGCTGAAAAAGCTGTTGGTTTGCAGCAAGCATTTTTGTCAGGAGAGCTGTACAAGAATTGGAATGGTGAACTATCAGTGGAGTTCATTACCATTCAGACACATCACCTATCCGTGCTGCTGTGTTCACCTATGTTTAAAATCTCCAGATTACCAGCAGCGTTAATGGTTGGAATGGACAAGGAAAGAGACCTGCTACACTGCTATCCGCTGTGTCTGACCCTCCTCAGTTCCAGAAATTGAGAAGGAGAGAAGTTCTTATTTATAGTGTTTATATAAACATAATTATGTTTATAATGATATAACAAATTGTGGTTATGTGTATTTGAAAGTATGAATATAGCAGGACATTAAATTAATTACTGTTTACTTCTTTGCATTTTAACTTTGTTAACTATAAAATCATGGGTGTGAGGTGTAAAAAAATAAGCTCAAAAACTGTAAATGGGATTAAAAATACTACACTATAAGATAGTTTTCCCTTTAATAGATTATACTCTGGTCAAATTGCAATACTGAGCCTGTTACACATTTGAAATTTGACAATGACATTTACTTTTACACAGAGTTAAAAGTGGTGTTTTAAATGAGAAGTGCAGTGTAAAGAGACATTCTTAACAATATTCAGTATTGGGATTTCAGGCAGTCAATGTTTTTGAATAAATTGCTCTAGTGGATGATTCAGTGACTTATTTATCAAGACCTAAATAACCAACCTAATTCCTAAAAAAACACATAATTTTTAGTATCTTTACTCAATGATTCACTGACACATTTCACAATTCTGAATGATACACTCAAGTGAATGACTTATTTAGACTAATTCTTCTTGGGATGGCTTACAGTATCAATAGGCTAATCTTGGAATGCTGCTTGACCAGTCAGACCCAAAGAATGGATCTGTAAGTAACCAGAAAGCACATAAATGATGGAGGAACATAATTTGAACTGTTATCATCTGCATGTTTAAAACAGTGTGTCCAGTGTGTTCTTCTCTCTCTTCAATTTTCATTGAGTTTATGCAAGACTAAGTTCATTACATTTTCAACGCTACTGCCGTCTCTGATTTGGCACTTCAGACTGAAACTTAATCAATTCCTAACTCGCAGCAGAAAGATGAAAATTAGTAAAGCAATCATGCAGACCTCAGAGAGTTACAGACCCGAGACATTTGGTTCTACATTTAGAAACCCAAGACAGACTTCTTTCTTCTCAGTACATCTGGTAATTATAAAAGACTGAGAAGACACACTTGCATGTTGATGAAATAAAAAAAAAAAATCTGGTTTTCTGCAGATTTTGCAGATATTCTTCAATTTGCAAAGCAATGGACTGTAATGCATAAAGGAATGAAAACATGGAATAATTTGCCATCAGACATTACATGCTTTGTAACAAGTAAAATGTGGTAAAAAAAATTGTTGAATAAATATTTAATGGCACAATATTAAGTGGATTGTTTATTTGGATGTCATGTATGATTTTTTATTATTATTTTTTTTGGTCTTTGTTGTTATGGATATGTAAATAATGTAATTTTGTTTTGTGTTCAATAGCCACTACCTTGTTTGTGGCAAACAGGGATTGTGATTAAAAAAAAAATTATAATAATATTTGCAATCTACAAGGTGGATTAAGTTATACGAATGCTCAATGTTCTGTTAAAGTCTCTGCAGTTTATGTTCATTAAAAGCCATTCAGTGGAAATTAAAAGAAGTTGCCGCCAATTCACTATGGCTACAGTTAAAACTCAAGGGTTAAGAATGTTAAAAAGTTGAATAGTTGTGGCTTTCGAATTGTCCTTGTCTCAAAACTTACATGTTAGGGCTGCATGATCAATCAAAATCAAATAGTAACTGCATTTTTCATGCATACCTTGTCAGGGAAGCATGGTTGTGTGATCAATAGTAAATGTCATCTGAAGGCCATGGTGCTCTTGTATGGAAACTCCAAACACCAATGAAGATATTTTTAATGTAGAAATTCCCATAGTGGTTGTTAAATAAACAGATTTAACTGCTTGCATTGATTCACCATGACTAATAATCACACAATTATGGAATCAACTCACGTAAATATTTATTTTAAACACTCGGCTAAAGTTATGAAGTGACTTTAAAGTGAAACCTGCTATTAAATGTACCATTTAGTTTACTGAAAACATATACAAGCACCTTCATTTCCACAGAATAATTAACTTTGGCAGCTTTAAAGCAGAGATAGCCAAACTTGGGCCATCAGGCTAAAGTTAGCCCATAGTGACCTTTGGTTTGGCCATCCACCCCATCTGATAAGAGAATGATGGGGATGGTTTGGTATTGTCATTTTAAATTTAATGCAACCTTTTAATTGTTTATTTTATTGTTAAGCTTAAAAAAAAAAATAAAAATAAAAAGCTAACTGAAATTAAATGTTGTAATTTAAATGTTGCAGTTTAGTTTAAAGGGTCACGAAACACCAAAACACACTTTTTTTTGAGCTGTTGACAGTCATATATGTCCCACGCTGCTATTGTGTATGCAACTTCATTAATATGCATGATAGCTTCAAAAAACGCTTTTACCTATTACAGTGTTCAGATGGCAGAGAGATGACATGTTGTGTTGTCAAAACAAGTGGAAGAAGAAGAATTGTTTGGAAACACGAGTCATGTGTGTTGTGTTTATGTGCTGCAGTGAAGGTTTAGTTTCCATTTCCCGCTATGAGAGCACAGTTGGACTCATGTGTGGACTACAGTGCACGTGACACGTAACAGAAATACGTTTGTTTAAAACCTTTTTTACCCAAGAGCTTTTCTCACCTGGAAATGGTGAAATCCAGATTTGCCACTCGTCTCCTTTTAAAAATGACGCGACTCCAGTTGGTGTTGATTGTGCAGTCTCTACAGATTTGTAAGTAAGCGATCAGTGGTCTTTGTTTGTTTAATCAGATGGCAAAGTTAGTTTGTATCGTCAGCAGTACTCTTTTAGTGTTTAAAGACATACCTTAGTCAAAATGTTTTAGTTACTAAGTTTACAGTACGTCAATATCATTACAATATTATAGGCTGAAGATCTGCTGTAAATGCTGCTCTTTGAGTGTAAACCAGGTGTAAACACTGCAATCAAACTATTATCGGCATGTAGGATTTTTGCTGCATTTTGTAACAGGAATAACACACACAGCCATTTGATGCTATCTACCGAGTGCACCTAAGTTACTGAGAAATGCGGAGGTTTTTTTTCCACCATTCGCCATGCGGTATCAAACATTGCATTAAAACAACACTCTTCCAGCAGTTCCTCCTATGCAATATCTCATTTGTCACAGGGGCATACATGAAATGTTTCTGAATGAAAGTGCCAAACTGCAGTTAGAGTTCACAAATTAATCATTTA